AACAGCCTCAGACACCAGCAACAGCCTCCGACACCAGCAACAGCCTCAGACACCAGCAACAGCCTCCGACACCAGCAACAGCCTCCGACACCAGCAACAGCCTCAGACACCAGCAACAGCCTCAGACACCAGCAGTAGCAGCAGCAGTAGCAGAGAAACCAAGACACCACTTATTTTGATTCTGATTCTGAATATGTTACAAACACAACGGATCTAATTGGCTCATTGAAGGGTGTCTGCTCTCTCTCTAGTCTCTCTGCTCGCTCTCTAGTCTCTCTCTCTGGCCCCTCTCTCTGGTCTCTCTCTCTGGTCTCTCTCTCTGGTCTCTCTCTCTGGCCTCTCTCTCTGGTCTCTCTCTCTGGTCTCTCTCTCTGGTCTCTCTCTCTGGTCTCTCTCTCTGGTCTCTCTCTCTGGTCTCTCTCTCTGGTCTCTCTCTCTGGCCCCTCTCTCTGGTCTCTCTCGCTGGTCTCTCTCTAGTCCCTCTCTGCTCTCTCACTCTGGTCTCTCTCTAGTCTCACTCTGGTCTCTCCCTAGTCTCTCTAGTCTCTCTCCCTGGTCTCACTCTGGTCTATACACAAACACACAAACTCCGCAGACATCAGCTGACGATGCTAATGCTAACACAAATGGTTTTTAGTATCCAGCTGTACATCACAGAGCGAGACGAGGGAACGGGAGGAGAGACGGGGGGGTTTCTCATAACTCTGGCTATGTTTTTCTGCAACTTTGCAACTTTTTCATGTATCGCACATAAAGTCCCAGCTGGTCCAGGCGCTGATCCACATGAAAGCCGCCTCCCGAAGCTCGGCTCTTTACAGAAGCACATTAAAAATACATGCGCAAATATGAATCGTCGTGGCAACTTCTACCGTTTCCTTCTTGAACTTTTCATGCATTTCAAAAAGCCGCAGTGAATTATTGAAACTATTATCTAAGCTGCTCCCAGTGTTAACCCAGTCCAGGTGATTCCCGAGCCTCTGAAGTCAGGTTCCCACGGCAACGGTGGCTTTGGGAGAAAAGATATACGTTTTCGATATGTGCCTCTGCGGGGTTTCTTACTTTTGTCACAGATTTGTTTTATTTTCTGAGTGGTTTCGGTGCGGGAGGGTCCAAGGATCGATCTCTCTCTGGTATTGTGCTCGGGTCTCTCTATCTCTAATCTCTCTATCTGTAGTCTGTGGCTCTCTGGTTTCTGGCTCTCTGGTCTCTGGCTCTCTGGTCTCTGGCTCTCTGGTTTCTCTCTCTCTGGTCTCTGGCTCTCTGGTCTCTCGCTCTCTGGTTTCTCTCTCTCTGGTCTCTCTCTCTCTCTGGTCTCTGGCTCTCTGGTCTCTCGCTCTCTGGTCTCTCGCTCTCTGGTCTCTCGCTCTCTGGTCTCTCGCTCTCTGGTTTCTCTCTCTCTGGTCTCTCTCTCTCTGGTCTCTCCCTCTCTGGTCTCTCTCTCTCTGGTCTCTCTCTCTCTGGTCTCTCCCTCTCTGGTCTCTGGCTCTCTGGTCTCTCGCTCTCTGGTCTCTCGCTCTCTGGTTTCTCTCTCTGGTCTCTCTCTCTCTGGTCTCTCTCTCTCTGGTCTCTGGCTCTTTGGTCTCTCGCTCTCTGGTCTCTCGCTCTCTGGTCTCTCGCTCTCTGGTCTCTCGCTCTCTGGTCTCTCGCTCTCTGGTTTCTCGCTCTCTGGTCTCTGGCTCTCTGGTCTCTGGCTCTCTGGCTCTCTGGTCTCTCGCTCTCTGGTTTCTCTCTCTCTGGTCTCTCGCTCTCTGGTCTCTCGCTCTCTGGTTTCTCTCTCTCTGGTCTCTCCCTCTCTGGTCTCTGGCTCTCTGGTCTCTGGCTCTCTGGTCTCTGGCTCTCTGGTTTCTCTCTCTCTGGTCTCTGGCTCTCTGGTCTCTCGCTCTCTGGTTTCTCTCTCTCTGGTCTCTCTCTCTCTGGTCTCTGGCTCTCTGGTCTCTCGCTCTCTGGTCTCTCGCTCTCTGGTCTCTCGCTCTCTGGTCTCTCGCTCTCTGGTTTCTCTCTCTCTGGTCTCTCTCTCTCTGGTCTCTCCCTCTCTGGTCTCTCTCTCTCTGGTCTCTCTCTCTCTGGTCTCTCCCTCTCTGGTCTCTGGCTCTCTGGTCTCTCGCTCTCTGGTCTCTCGCTCTCTGGTTTCTCTCTCTGGTCTCTCTCTCTCTGGTCTCTCTCTCTCTGGTCTCTGGCTCTTTGGTCTCTCGCTCTCTGGTCTCTCGCTCTCTGGTCTCTCGCTCTCTGGTCTCTCGCTCTCTGGTCTCTCGCTCTCTGGTTTCTCTCTCTCTGGTCTCTGGCTCTCTGGTCTCTGGCTCTCTGGCTCTCTGGTCTCTCGCTCTCTGGTTTCTCTCTCTCTGGTCTCTCGCTCTCTGGTCTCTCGCTCTCTGGTTTCTCTCTCTCTGGTCTCTCCCTCTCTGGTCTCTGGCTCTCTGGTCTCTCGCTCTCTGGTCTCTCGCTCTCTGGTCTCTCACTCTCTGGATTCTCTCGCTCTCTGGTCTCTTTCTCTCTAATCTCTTTCTCTCTGGTCTTTCTCTCTCTGGTCTTTCTCTCTCTTGTCTCTCGCTCTTTGGTCTCTCGCTCTGTATTCTCTCTCTCTCTCTCTCTCTCTCATCTCTCTCTCTTACTCCGCCTCTCAGAGTGAGCGTCCAGAACCTCCCGCCTCCATCTGGAGCGTGGGTTGGGTTCATCAGATCTGAGGCGGCCGCTCACTGTCGCCTCGTATAAAAACCATTAAGGCAAATGAAGAGCTGGTTAGTGCGGAGAAAAGACCCGACTCAGCGTTCTCTCTCGACCAATGGGAGCGAGCGCCGCCTCGTAAAGAACCAGGACGCTGGGAGGGACCATGGGTCGTGGTGGGGCTGGGAGAATGGAGGGGAGGGCTGTAGAACCAGGACTGAGGCTGTAGACCCAGGACTGAGGCTGTAGACCCAGGACTGAGGCTGTAGACCCAGGACTGAGGCTGTAGATCCAGGACTGAGGCTGTAGATCCAGGACTGAGGCTGTAGATCCAGGACTGATGCTGTAGACCGAGGACTGAGGCTGTAGACCGAGGACTGAGGCGTAGACCAAGGACTGAGGCTGTAGACCGAGGACTGAGGCTGTAGACCGAGGACTGAGGCTGTAGACCCAGGACTGAGGCTGTAGACCCAGGACTGAGGCTGTAGACCGAGGACTGAGGCTGTAGACCGAGGACTGAGGCTGTAGACCCAGGACTGAGGCCTCAGATGAAGGAAGCATTTATCAGCAAGTAATAAAGATTTTTATAACTCAAACAAGAGAGAAACCAGAGAAAGGAGGGAGAAAGAGAGACCAGAGGAAGAGACCAGAGAGAGAGAGACCAAAGAGGGAGACCTGGGGGAAGAGACCAGAGAGAGCGAGCAAGAGAGAGAGTGAGAGAGAGAGACCAACAAGAGGAAAGAGACCAGAGCAAGGCAGAGGGAGCACAGAGAGGAGACTAGAGAGAGAGACTTGATAGAGACCAGAGAGAGAGACCAGAGAAAGGACAGGGACCAGAGCAAGACAGTGGCAGAACCGATAGTCCGCAGAGAGAGAGAGAGAGACCAGAGAGAGACCAGAGAGAGAAAGGAGGCCTTGCATAACTCTCCCCCACAAACGCTGCATGTTTTGTGGACTGTGATTCCGAGATGAGCCCCGGATTGGGACCAGAGAGCGGAGCCAGCGAGACTCGTGCCAGACCATTAATTGCGCAATTTAAAAGCAAAGTCTCTGGCAGACGGTCACACGAAGCCAAGACGCCGCACTGCTTCATCAGCGGAGGAAGAAGACGAGCAGAGCACACGACACACACTCTGGGTTCATTAAGAACATCCAGTCAGTGTCTTTGTCCCCCTCTGGTCCAGTTGAGTATCAAGAGTTTACGCAAAAATGTCTCATATTTGGCAAATTGTATCGTAATTTGACTCTTTGGTCTGTCTCTGATCTGTCTCTGGTCACTCCCATTGACAAGAGTAGGGCAGGGTTGGGTAGAATAGGGTTGGGTAGAGTAGAGTAGAGTAGAGTAGAGAAGAGTAGAGTAAAGAAGGATAGAGTAGAGTAGGGTAAAGTAGAGTAGAGTATGGCAGGGTAGGGTAGAGTAGAGTAGAGTAGAGTAGAGTACAGTAGAGTACAGTACTCTCTGGTCTCTCGCTCTCTCTTGTCTCTCGCTCTCTCGCTCTGTAGTCTCTCTCTCTGATCTCTCTCTCATCTCTCTCTCTCTTACTCCGCCTCTCAGAGTGAGCGTCCAGAACCTCCCGCCTCCATCTGGAGCGTGGGTTGGGTTCAGAGTGGGTGGTAGAGTAGAGTAGAGTAGAGTAGAGTAGAGTAGAGTAGGGTAGGGTAGGGTAGGGTATAGTAGAGTAGAGTAGAGTAGGGTAGAGCAGGGTAGAGTAGAGTAGAATAGAGTAGAGTAGAGAAGGGTAGAGTAGGGTAGGGTATAGTAGAGTAGAGTAGAGTAGAGTAGAGTAGGGTAGAGTAGGGTAGAGTAGAGTAGAATAGAGTAGAGTAGAGAAGGGTAGAGTAGAGTAGGGTAGAGTAGAGTAGAGTAGGGTAGGGTGTAGTAGAGTAGAGTAGGGTAGAGTAGAGTAGAGTAGAGTAGGGTAGGGTGTAGTAGAGTAGAGTAGGGTAGGGTGTAGTAGAGTAGAGTAGGGTAGGGTGTAGTAGAGTAGAGTAGAGTAGAGAAGGGTAGAGTAGAGTAGGGTAGAGTAGAGTAGAGAAGGGTAGAGTAGAGTAGGGTAGAGTAGAGTAGAGTAGGGTAGGGTGTAGTAGAGTAGAGTAGAGTAGGGTAGGGTATAGTAGAGTAGGGTAGGGTGTAGTAGAGTAGAGTAGTCAGATACAGGGCTTGAGTTTGGGTTCTCTTTCTCTGATTCGTGTCCATTCTTTTCATCAGTAACTTTAGGACTTCACCAAATAAGCCGGTCGTGTGCTCAGGACATTTATATTATTTTGTTTCATATTCAGAAAATCACGGCAGCTTTAAACTCTTCCCAAAACCTGGCGCGATCATCTGTTTTGGATTATTACCACGAGACGCCTTCACAAACCGCTCCCTGGTGCGTCTGCGCTGGCGGCTCGGACGCGGCGGCCTCCAGGGGGCGTCCTCCAGCGGTGAAAACACGTGATAATGTGTTAAAAGTTTGTTTTGACGAAGCGCTTACAGAATGTTTTGGCTGCGAGTTCTGAATCTTCACACGAGCTGCATCTGAGCGACCTACTTCCAGAACTCCAGAGACTCTACCCCTGAGCGCTTCACGTGTCCGACCAAAACATCCACTGGTAAACAGGACCAGATCGACTCTAATATTAGCTAAACATGCTACAGAAAGCAGAGCAGTCAATTCGACGGCTTTTAGTTCTGGTGTTTGATTTTATGGATTTATCTTTTTAAATAAAGTAGATCTCGCTTTAACTCCTTTGTTTTTTTCCACCAGAGAAGAGCTGGTAACCATAGCAACATGCCAGTTAGCATTAGCATGAGCAGTTAGCATTGGTTTGTCAATAAACTGGAAGAGATCGACTTATATTTCCAGCTTAACATTGTGGAACTAAACACAATAGAAGCAGAGACATGTATTTATGTATTTAAAGTCACTTTTACTGTTTTTTCATTCAACTTTATTTTGTTTTTGAAAATGTGAGAAAGGGACTAATACAGTATTGACCTGTCATCTGTGTCACTGGTGTCTGACTAACGCACTTGCCTTGTGTACAAACTGTGCCATACAAACAAACGTGCCTTCCCTCCTCCATAGCCATCGCCATGGTTACCACCACCCCCCTCCCCAGACCCCGACTCCGAGGTTCTCTGTTTCTGTCGCTGGCGTCGATGGTGGACGCTGTGTGAAGGATCGATACCTCGCTCCTGGACCTGCCCTTTATCATGTTAATATGATTTCCATTGATGTGTTTTCAAAATGGCTGCTCTTTATGGTTTTACATATTGACTGGTGAACTCATCGCTCTGGTGTCGGGCTCCCAGGGCTCAGACGGATGTTCAGGGAGATGGGAAGGAGTCTAGATAGATGGAGCCTTCTGCACTGTAACTCCCTATGCTGCCACCAGGGGGTAGAATAAGTTGTTTTTTTCCAAATTTGAAACGTACCGACCTCCAAACACCGCCAACACCTCCAAACACCGCCAACACCTCCAACACCTCCAACACCTCCAACACCTGCAAGACCTGCAACACCTCCAACACCGCCAACACCTCCAAACACCGCCAACACCTCCAAACACCGCCAACACCGCCAATACCTCCAAACACCGGCAACACCGCCAACACCTCCAAACACCTCCAACACCGCCAACACCGCCAACACCGCCAACACCGCCAACACCGCCAACACCGCCAACACCTCCAACACCTCCAACACCGACAACACCGACAACACCGCCAACACCGCCAACACCTCCAAACACCTCCAACACCTCCAACACCTCCAACACCTCCAACACCACCAACACCTCCAACACCTCCAACACCTCCAAACACCGCCAACACCTCCAACACCTCCAACACCGCCAACACCTCCAAACACCTCCAACACCGCCAACACCGCCAACACCGCCAACACCGCCAACACCGCCAACACCTCCAAACACCTCCAACACCTCCAACACCTGCAACACCTCCAACACCGCCAACACCTCCAACACCGCCAACACCGCCAACACCGCCAACACCTCCAACACCTCCAACACCGCCAACACCTCCAACACCGCCAACACCTCCAAACACCTCCAACACCGCCAACACCGCCAACACCACCAACACCTCCAACACCTCCAACACCACCAACACCTCCAACACCTCCAACACCTCCAAACACCTCCAACACCTCCAACACCTGCAACACCTCCAACACCGCCAACACCTCCAACACCGCCAACACCGCCAACACCGCCAACACCTCCAACACCTCCAACACCGCCAACACCTCCAACACCGCCAACACCTCCAAACACCTCCAACACCGCCAACACCGCCAACACCACCAACACCTCCAACACCTCCAACACCACCAACACCTCCAACACCTCCAACACCTCCAACACCTCCAACACCTCCTACACCTCCAAACACCGCCAACACCTCCAACACCTCCAACACCGCCAACACCTCCAAACACCTCCAACACCGCCAACACCGCCAACACCGCCAACACCTCCAAACACCTCCAACACCTCCAACACCTGCAACACCTCCAACACCGCCAACACCGCCAACACCTCCAACACCGCCAACACCTCCAACACCGCCAACACCGCCAACACCTCCAACACCTCCAAACACCTCCAACACCGCCAACACCGCCAACACCACCAACACCTCCAACACCTCCAACACCTCCAACACCACCAACACCTCCAACACCGCCAACGCCGCCAACACCACCAACACCTCCAACACCTCCAACACCTCCAACACCTCCAACACCTCCAACACCGCCAACACCTCCAACACCGCCAACACCTCCAACACCACCAACACCTCCAACACCGCCAACACCTCCAACACCACCAACACCTCCAACACCACCAACACCTCCAACACCTCCAACACCTCCAACACCGCCAACACCATCAACACCTCCAACACCACCAACACCACCAACACCTCCAACACCTCCAACACCTCCAACACCTCCAACACCTCCAACACCTCCAACACCTGCAACACCTCCAACACCGCCAACACCTCCAACACCGCCAACACCGCCAACACCTCCAACACCGCCAACACCTCCAACACCTCCAACACCTCCAAACACCGCCAACACGCCATGCCAGCCAGAAAAACACCAACACTAAATCATGGTCGCTATTTGTTATTTGCTCTGAGTGTGATGTCATACATACTGTACATGCTAACTACACACATGCTAACCCTAATGACTGTACATACATGCTAACTACATACATGCTAATACTAACGACCGTACGTCCTCTTGTTTTAGCTGCTTCGATGTGTCTTAATGTCTTTCATCCCACGCCGCCCTCTGAACCCTACATGAAAGACACCGCGGTTCGGCGGTTTGTTAATTAGCGAGAGGCCGACCGAGGGTGAGTCGGCCAGTGCCATGGAGCTCAGTGGAAGTCCCCCCCACCTCCCCCCTGACCACCAGCCTGAGGGAGTGACCATCCAAGGCTGAGGCGCGAGACGTGGAAGGAGGCGAGAGATGAAAGAACCACGCTGCCAGGCCAAACAGATGAATTACTTATCAAAGAAAGAGACTAGGACGAGGTCAGGGGAGGAAGAGGAGGAGGAGGTGAAGGAGGAGAAGGAGGAGGTGAAGGAGGAGAAGGAGGCGAGACATGAGAGGCCAAACAGATGAATTACTTATCAAAGACAGAGACTAGGACGAGGTCAGGGGAGGACGAGGAGGAGGAGGTGAAGGAGGAGAAGGAGGAGGTGAAGGAGGAGAAGGAGGCGAGACATGAGAGGCCAAACAGATGAATTACTTATCAAAGACAGAGACTAGGCAGAGGTCAGGGGAGGAGGAGGAGGAGGAGGTGAATGAGGAGAAGGAGGAGGTAGAGGAGGAGAAGGAGGCGAGACATGAGAGGCCAAACAGATGAATTACTTATCAAAGAAAGAGACTAGGCAGAGGTCAGTGGAGGAGGAGAAGGAGGAGGAGGTGAAGGAGGAGGAGGAGGAGAAGGAGGAGGTGAAGGAGGATCTGGTGTCGCCTCGAAAAGTAAAGAAGCCAAATGTAGTATACAGGAGCTAAGTTTGTTTAGTGCAGGTCATGGGGAATCTCAACGTGTGGTCACAATCACACACGGCATTAAGGGAGGAGAGAGGGTGGAGAGGAGAGGAGTGAGGAGATGAGAGAGAAAAGGAGAGAGGAGAGGTGAAGGAGAGAGAAGAGAGGAGAAAGGAGAGAAGAGGAGAGACGAGAGGAGAGGAGAAAGGAGAGAGAAGAGATGAGAGAGGAAAGGAGAGAAGAGAGAGGAGAGGAGAGAGAAGAGAGGAGAAGAGAAAGGAGAGAGAAGAGAGAAGGAGAAAGAAGAGAGGAGAAAGGAGAGAAGAGAAGAAGAGAGGAGAAAGAGCCTAGGAAAGAGGAGAGATGAGAGAGGAAAGGATAGAAGAAAGGAGAGAGGATAGAGGAGAGCAGAGCGACTCCTCTATGTCATCATCCCTCCATCTTTCCTCAGCGTCGGTCGGAGCCTGCACCAAACTCACCAAAACAAACCGTGGCTCAGCGTCTCTGGGATTTAATTAAGGAAGTGGGAAAAAGGCATGAAAATCCACATTAGGAGATGAAAGGACGGAGCCATTTAGCGCAAAAAAATAAATCTAATTTGGTCCGTGTGTTCCGTAATGAGGTTGCCGTGGTGATTTGGGAGAGCGTTTCAAGTTTGCGAGTGTACATCAGCGGCTCCACTCCCACCTCCGCCGAAAAAAACAAACAATACTTCCCCAAATTAACCCAAAAGTGTATTTCTGATGCGCGGCAGACACACAGGCAGAGACACGCTGAATCTGAAAGTAATTGGAAGCGCCCGGAATAACTGTGGAAAAAAGCACCGGGAAGTTCCAATGCATCTTGGCTGGGTCTTACCACACCATTGTACTCATTTCCTGGGTTGGATTTCGGTCGGAACAGGGTATTTCTGAGTGGAGTTTGCATGTTCTCCCCATGTCTGCGTAGGTTTCCTCCAGGTGCTCCGGTTTCCCCTACCACCAAAAACGTTTACTATAGGTCTGTGCTTCCTGAACTGGCCCCTTTTTTTTGCCACTTTTGAGCTGGGACCCGCCCCCACTGGACGTCACCGACACCGACCTACAACACCCGCCTCCCCCGCTCTCTGATTGGTCGGAGGGGATTCAACCGAGGAAACTGCAGCCAATAGGATCAGACCCAGACGTACATGTAGGAAATGATCATGGACCAGAGTTTACACATGGTAAGACCAGATGCTGCTGTGTAGGTTTTATTTTTGTAACGTTTCTCTCGGTAACTGGTAAATGGCTAAAATGAAAGTCTTAAAACTCTAACTTAAACTTTAACCTGTAAATGTATCTTTAACCTGCGCTGAGCTGAGTGGGAGGAGCCCCACTGTGACCACGAGGATAAGAACTCATTTAAACTCATTTTTTAATCTGATAAATAGATTTGTTAATTCTCTCCGACCGCGGAGGAGGAGAAGAGAACCCACCACGGCTCCAAACACATCGGGGTCAAACGCAGGAGAAAGCGGCGGCTCTGAGTGAACTCTGAAAACACAGGCTGAAGATCAGGGCGAGCTGCAGCCGATTCGGTTAAAAGGAAAGGATTATTCTGAGCACGGTGGGAGGTGAAGAGTGAGAGGGGGGGGGGGGGGGGGGGGGGGGGGGGGGGGAGAGGAGAGAGGGGGGGAGGGAGGAGAGAGAGAGAGAGGAGAGAGGGGAGAGGGGAGGAGATGAGAGAGAGAGAGGAGAGAGGGGGAGAGGGAGGAGAAGAGAGAGAAACAAAGAGAGGAGGGAGAGAGAAAGAGAGAAGGGAGAGAGAGAGAGCGAGAGAAAGAAAGAGAGGAGGGAGAGAGAGGACAGAGAGAGAGGGGAGAGAGAGGAAAGAGAGAGGGGGAGAGAGGGAGAGAACAGAGAGAGAGGAGGGAGAGAGAGAGAGACAGACAGACCAGAGAGAGACCAGAGAGAGACCAGAGAGAGACCAGAGAGAGACCAGAGAGAGACCAGAGAGAGACCAGAGAGAGACCAGAGAGAGACCAGAGAGAGACCAGAGAGAGAAAGTGAGAGACCAGAGAGAGAGAGTGAAAGACCAGAGAGAGTGACAGGTGAGAGAGAGACCACACTAAGATAGAACATATAAATGTTGATTCTGTTTTTAAAGAGCGTCAGTCATCGGCCTCAAACATCCACAACAGACGATCACTCAGAGCGACTGCGGATCGCTGTGTGCTTCCCCAGACGCTGCTCCTGCCAGCCTGCTGCACTCCGCTCTCAGTAATGGATACAACGGGGCCTTAACGTTAGAAGACCAATCACAGTCTCATGTTTATTAGTCCTGGGACTGAGAGGCTGTTGAAGAGACCAAGTGTCATGGAACTGGGTCTACAGTCTCAGTCCTGGGTCTGCAGCCTCAGTCCTGGGTCTGCAGTCTCAGTTCTGGGTCTGCAGCCTCAGTCCTGGGTCTGCAGCCTCAGTCCTGGGTCTGCAGCCTTAGTCCTGGGTCTGCAGTCTCAGTCTTGGGTCTGCAGTCTCAGTCCTGGGTCTACAGCCTCAGTCCTGGGTCTACAGCCTCAGTCCTGGGTCTACAGCCTCAGTCCTGGGTCTTAAGCCTCAGTCCTGGGTCTTAAGCCTCAGTCCTGGGTCTACAGCCTCAGTCCTGGGTCTACAGCCTCAGTCCTGGATCTATACGGTCTTAGTCCTGGATCTAGAGCCTCGGTCCTGCCTCACATACATTGCCTCCTGTATGGAAAGCCTTCTGCTGGGTCTGGATTGGGTCTGGATTGGGTCTGGATTGGGTTTGGCTTGGGTCTGGTTGATGCAGGCGGGTGCTTTGTGAGGGGGCAGTGAGGTGCAGCCCGGGGCCCGTCGCCTCAGGCCTAATCCTCCACGCTCCACAGCCGCTAAGACCCAAACCACAGCCGCTAAGCTCTGAGCCACAGCCGCTAAGACCTATCTCCTCTGTGAGCTCTGCATTCTCCTGCTCCACCGTCACCGCGGCGACCAGGACAAAGAGCATCATGAGGCTGTGGTCTGGCCCCGGGCCCTCGGGTCGCGGGGTCTGGAGTTTACAGACTACAGAAAGTCTTAAACATATTTACTACTTTACAAAAATGATAAAATATGAGGTAACAACTGTTTGGATCGAGTGGTTTTCATCAAAATTCCTGGACTGGCTTTGGATTGGTCCTGAACTGATCCGGACTCGTTGGGGACTAGTTCTAGTTCAACATGGTTTCCCACTAGAGAAAAGCGAGTGCTGATCACCATGGCAACTCGGGATGCATTGATACCACTTTTTTTCAAAACCGATATGAGTACCTTGAGTACTGCATTCTGCGATCCTGTCCGTTTGCCGATGAGCTAGCGGCTAGGCTAAGAGGCCCCTTCCGATCACCATGGCAACAGGATGTGCGTGTCTGCTGACGTGGCGCTAATGTAAATGAAAAAAGTGTGTATTGGTTGTGCGGTATCGGGTCCTATGGTGTGAGTACGAGAGAGAGAGAGAGAACAGAGAGAGAGAGAGGCCAGAGAGAGAGAGAGAGACAGAGAACAGAGAGACCAGAGAGAGAGAGAGAGACCAGAGAACAGAGAGGCCAGAGAGAGAGAGAGGCCAGAGAGAGAGGCCAGAGAGAGAGAGGCCAGAGAACAGAGAGACCAGAGAGAAAGATGAGGCCAGAGAACAGAGAGGCCAGAGAACAGAGAGGCCAGAGAGAGAGAGAGGCCAGAGAGAGAGAGAGGCCCAGAGAGAGAGAGGCCAGAGAGAGAGAGAGGCCAGAGAGAGAGAGAGGCCAGAGAGAGAGAGAGGCCAGAGAGAGAGAGAGGCCAGAGAGAGAGAGGCCAGAGAGAGAGAGGCCAGAGAGAGAGAGGCCAGAGAGAGAGAGAGGCCAGAGAGAGAGAGAGAGGCCAGAGAGAAGAGAGAGGCCAGAGAGAGAGAGAGGCCAGAGAACAGAGAGAGACCAGAGAGAGAGAGAGGCCAGAGAGAGAGAGAGGCCAGAGAGAGAGAGAGGCCAGAGAGAGAGAGGCCAGAGAGAGAGAGGCCAGAGAGAGAGAGAGGCCAGAGAACAGAGAGAGACCAGAGAGAGAGAGAGGCCAGAGAGAGAGAGGCCAGAGAACAGAGAGAGACAAGAGAGAGAGAGAGGCCAGAGAGAGAGAGGCCAGAGAACAGAGAACAGAGAGACCAGAGAGAGAGAGAGGCCAGAGAACAGAGAGAGACCAGAGAGAGAGAGAAGCCAGAGAGAGAGAGAGAACAGAGACAGACAAGAGAAAGAGAGGCCAGAGAGAAATACCAGAGAAAGAGATGAGAGGGACCAGAGAGACAAGAGAGAGAGACTAGAGGGAGAGACCAGAGAGAAGAGAGAAAAGAGAGACTAGAGAGAAAAGAGAGAGACTAGAGAGAAAAGAGAGAGAGACCAGAGAGAAAAGAGAAACTAGAGAGAAAAGAGAGAGAGACCAGAGAGAAAAGAGAAACTAGAAAGAAAAGAGAGAGAGACCAGAGAGAAAAGAGAGAGACTAGAGAGAAAAGAGAGAAAGACCAGAGAGAAAAGAGAGAGACTAGAGAGAAAAGAGAGCGAGACCAGAGAAAAAAGAGAGAGACTAGAGAGTTATGTTCTTGTTGTAACTGAGCTTCAGTCTGGGAGAGTGGTGTCTCCAGCGACAGAGAGAGATGTGTTTGTGTAGGTTTAAAATAATGAATTAGTCTTAAACGGAGATCCGTCTCTCTCTCTCTCTCTCTCTCTCCTCTCTCTCTCTCTCTCTGATCTCTCTCTCTCCTCTCTCTCTCTCTCTCTCTCTCTCTCTCCTCTCTCTCCTCTCTCCTCTCTCTCTCTCCTCTCTCTCCTCTCTTCTCATCTCCTCTCTCGTCTCTCTTCTCTCTCCTCTCTCTCTCTCTCTCTCTCTCTCTCTCTCTCTCTCTCTCTCTCTCTCTCTCGTCCTTCGCGGTGGAACAGAGACGTGGGGATTCTCTGCAGGATGATACCGCTCGGGCTTTAATGTTTCACATGGTTTTGTCTCTTGTTTTATCCGTGCTTCATGTGGCTCCTATAGAGACGCTTTAGTGTGTGTGTGTGTGTGTGTGTGTTAACATGCGACATCATCTGGTCCACAGCCCAACATGGAGAATAGTTTAGTCTATTATATTAAACTTTTATCTGTATTATGCTAAAGTTAGGTAAGATATGTCATTTTCATCTATCTATGTGTCTATCTATGTGTCTATCTATGTGTCTATCTATCTATCTTCTTCACTTGCTCCTCACTCCTACTGTCTTAGTGTATCTATAATCTCAGTGTTGTTAATGTAAATAACAATGGTATTGATGCCAAAGAGCCTTCAGGACCATGGACAGCTCCCTCACTTCTTACACTATAAAAACCACAGCAAACAGTGTTGGGCAAATTACTTCAAACTTAAATCCTCTTCTGAAGCAACAAAACACTCTGGCCCTGCACATGAAAGGCCGGGGTCCTTCAGGGGCCCTTTACAATCCTAAACAGGAGCAGATCAAGCTGAAGCCTCCTGGACACCGGGGGGCGCCGGTGTCCTGCTTTAGGACATTACACAGCGTTGCGTCGACTAATGTAGAAGGACCTGTTGACAAACTTCACCACATTAAAGTCTGCCTCCTCAAATGACCCGGCCCTTCGTGCTCGCGTGGTCTCGTGCTCGCGTGGTCCCGGACCCAGGGCCGACCCTGGACGGACCCTGGACGAACCCCGGACGGACCCCGGACGAACCCCGGACGGACCCCGGACGGACCCCGGACGGACCCCGGACGGACCCCGGACGGACCCCGGACGGACCCCGGACGGACTCCGGACGGACTCCGGACGGACTCCGGACGGACTCTGCATTTAGATTTATCTCTGTATTTATCAGAGAAAAAGAGAGAGACTAGAGAGAGACCAGAGAGAGACCAGAGAGAGACCAGAGAGAGACCAGAGAGAGACCAGAGAGAGAGACTAGAGAGAGAGACCAGAGAGAGAGACCAGAGAGAGAGACTAGAGAGAGATCAGAGAGAAATCACGGTGTAACAGCATAATGTGGAAGAATACAGTCACAGAGCTTCATTCTTCACTGGGGGTAAATAATTTGTATGGCACTCCTGGAAGTCTCCCACCTCTGGCCTCCTCTTCCTCTTTCCCCCTCCTCTCTCTCCTCCTGAATGCTCCCACAGATGTCCATGTGTTCTCAGCCTGTCCTCCTGCATCGATCTGCGCCTCCTCTCACCTCCTTCACATCAACACAAATGCATCTCACTACGTTCAGTGTTCAGCAATTCCACATTTTAATGGCCGCACTATTGATGGTGGAACGCCGAAAACTATCGACGCCGCTCCCAACGCCGTCT